AGGGGGGAGGGCAGTAGGGAGGGGGAGGGGGAGAAAGAGTTCCTCCTGCACTACTGAAGCATCCTTCCCTCCTTCCCTCCTTCCCTCCATGGCCACTGCTGGCTCCTTCCAGGCCAAGCTGAGGCTCTGCTAAATTATTCCTGTCCTTGGGTTGGTAACAATTTCTCGCTCTGCTGGTTTCTAAATATCTCAATATCCTTCGTTTGTTCCCTTAACCCTTAAGTAGCCCTTCATTAATCTCTCTTCACTCAAACCACCCAAATGAACTGTGTCCTGCAGGGCCTCTGACCAACACAGGCAGGGCCCTGTCTCACTCACGTTCCCATCCAGTGCCTACAGCACACTGCTCGTGAACTGTTGTATTAAAGAAACTGGTTCACTGCAACTCTCAGCCGGAGAGAACACTACGCCGTTTTCATTATGGCAGAAACCTTGGTAATTCAGAACGGCCAGGGGAAGGGCTATTTTCAAACTGAAAAACTAAATTACAGGATGTTTTTAAAACCAAATGTAATTCTGCATTATCATCTGTATTTGAATATTAAAAAAACAGTTTCACTACAATATTCGCTACATAAAATGCACATACAGAAAATAAAGTTGACATTAAAAATGAAAAATCCACCACGTTACTTGCTCTTTTCAAATACACGTGAAACTTTCGCTTTTTTCCTATGAACTCTCAGTCTGCAGTCTACTGGTCTGAAAGGTCAGCAGCGGGATGCAAGGGTCACTCACCCAGAATACAAAGCTTTCAGGCCTTCTTCTCTGCCTATCCTCACCAACGCATGCAACATTCCCCGGTACCTAATTTCTTTAAAGTTTGCATCGTTCGTCTGGCCTTGAATCTGGAGCCGTGTCTTCGTCAAATCAATTGGAAATGTGCCTTAAAATTTTGAAGAAAAATATTTCACTCAATGAAAAGAAATTCCACTAAACAAAGTCTACACAGTGACATGTTACTGATGAGACATTTAGACCACAATGTAAACTAAGAAACAAAAAGTGTCAGATACTTTGCAATCTTTTTTCTATTTACAAAAATTAGGAACCAAATATTTTTTTTTAAAAAAGCATAAGTATATTTTCCTTTCTTTATATTCCTACTTATGTTCCATCTTATTCTACGTAGGATTTGAGAAATCTGCATGGCTGTAGAAAGTAGATATCAATGGAATGATTGACAACCAGAAAGTACATTTTAAAATAAGTTATTTTTTGACATCTGTGAAGGCTAAAATTGGGTTCGACATGAATGAAGAGAGATAAGTTTCTAAGGATTTTCTCACTTTGTTCTATAGTCTGAAGTAAATCTGTTAATGTAGATAAAATGTTTAATACAGAGCCTAACAGTCCACCCAAATGTATCAAACTCACACTCGGCAAGCATGACCCGCTGTGTCTGTGGGAGAGCCCACCCACACAGGGAAACGGGGCGGGTGGTTAACGCGCCGCAAGCCTGGGCCTCACTGGCTCCTCGGGTTGGCCTGTCTCAGGCCAGCAGTGACTGAGCCCTGGCAGCGAATGAAATGTCCGGCCCAGCACCTGGCACTTGGCAGCTGCTCTGTTCAATCAATATTTGTTGAATGAATGATTCCAGGTGATAAAGGAATAAACAGGATCTGACGTGGACTTCAACAGGTGAGGAAGTCACAAGATGTGCATCAAGTGCGTATCAGAAAGTGACTACATAATGCCAGCCCATCGAATCGGGCTCGGGGAAGACCCTGGAACATCTCGAACTTCTTTACAGCCAAATGCATTCACAGAGGGGGCAAACTGAGGAAATGAGCAAGGCCGACTGGGACTGGCGTCATCCCAAACCGATCCGCCAAACTTCTGTTTGGTCAACAGATTCGACTTTCTCCCCATTAAACTCTGAACCCTAACTGCCAATAAGTAGCCAAAATGACTGTCCTAAAAGCATACCAAAAGGAGGAGGAAAATCTGAATTCTGAGATTACTGTTTCATAATCTCACACTCTGTGCTGAAACTGCGTTCACATCAGACAGCAAACCGTGACCTTGGGTCTTACCGGCCGTCACATGCGGCGGGTACCTTGGCCCGACCCCTGCCCGCGCTGCTTACCGCACTCGGCCGTGATGGAGGCCAGCCCTCCGTACACGAAGGGCTTCCAGTTGACGGCCGACATTCTCATCCCTGTCCCCTCTCCCGCTTCACAGAAACACGGTCTCCGACAGGCTTTTTCCTGGACACAAAAGTCAGACGTTTCAAAGTTGGAATTTCTCACATAGGCATTTCTTCTTGAAATCTGCATTTCATTTGGAAAACGCTCATCAGACACTATCACCGAAACCCCCAGCAACAATTCCCAACGAGTCGGGGATACCAGTCTTGCCGTAACAGAGAAGCATCCCTATCTACTGAGGCCCGAGTCAGCAACTACTAGTCTCACTTTAGCAGGTGCCTAATTCTCATTAGACCTTGAGCGACCCAACACGCTGATGCCTGGACATGCGTGTGCGAATTCAGTGCACTACAATAGAGGCGATTACCCAGGTAGTCTATTTTATCTCAAATCTCTTCTCTAACTTTTGCTGTTTGTCACCGTCTTAGTGGGTCCCTTCTGGGAGGGACTGAAATCCTCAGGTGCAATGGAGTGAAAGAACGCTGCCACCCAATGTCACACGGTGAACCGACAATTACTTAAAACTGCTGACGTGTACTGCTAGCTTACACTCTGTAAATAAATGGTAGTTCTCGTCTCTTACCCACGTGAGCAGCTGGGAGCTCGGGGTGAAGGAAAGAGGCAAACTTCTTGTTAACCTCTAGGGTTTTTTCCTTCATCAATATTGTCGACATCATCGTCAACGTCATCATCATCATCAGACAGTGCACATATGAATCTTTTTTTTTCAGAGTATTTTTACTTAGGTGAAATTCACATACTACAAAATAAACCATTTGGCCAAAAACTTACCGTGTCACCTACTAAGTGGCACTTACTACATTCGCAATGTTGTGCAAACACCACCTTCATCTAGTTGCAAAACATTCCATCGCCCACAAGAACACTGTTAAGCGGTTGCTCCCCATCACCCCCCGCCTTGCCCCGGCTCCCTCGGCTGTGACACCACCAGTGCGTCAAGCATCCATGAGGAACACAGGCCTCCTGATGGTTGTCCCTAACCTGGCTGTGGGGCTTCTTAAGCACCTGGACACCAAGGCCCTTCGACAGAAGGGGGACCTCAGGGAACCCTTAGCAACTGTGTCGTTACCGAAAATCAGTGAGTTAAGTAGATGATGGCCAGGTCACACCTTGGAACTCTTATCACCTAACTCGTTTTAAGTAGTTAATTTTCTTTTCTTTCTTTTTTTTTACGCCTACAGCACCTGGTCTTCCTAGGTGGTCTCTCACCCAGGTACTAACCAGGCCTGACCCTGCTTAGCTTCCGAGATCAGACGAGATCGGGAGTGTTCAGGATGGCATGGCTGTAGACATAGTTCATTTTCAAAGATGACAACACCGTTCGTTCTTTTAGTGGTTTTTTTCCTACAGTGAATATATATGTGTCTATGTATACACATGCAGACACACACACAAATATATGCAAAAGATATCCTCCAAATGGCAGCAAAAATTTATGGGAAATGGGATTATACTAATCTCTAAAAACAAAACGTTTTTTGAAGACTGTACTGTCACATGACCTCATGCCATCTCACTGATTAACTTCCTGGTTTCCTGCCATTGTTTTATTTATTTATTTATTTTTTTGCTAGGTTAGTTCTAGTGAGAGTTGCCTTTTTCTTCTGTTTGGTGTTGATATTAAGTTTTTCGTTAGATTAAAACTCAAAGGTTCTGGGTTGCATTCACCTGTAAATACTCGACTAGAGCCCGAGTTTGTCGTGGAATTGCCTCCCGCATGCTCGAAGTCACATGGGACAGAGCACACACGCACAGTTCCCACTCAGATGTCCTGCCACAATAAATGATCTTCACAAACGAGTGTCCACTCCCGCATCCTTGGTTAAACTATAATAAAATAGCTTCTATTCATTCAATTACAGTTTTTAAAAATTAGCTAGGAAGACGGTAAAAAAGCGTTCGGATTCTTCTCCTTTCCTTTGGGAACGCCGAGAGTCGATCCCTGAGCAGGTAAGAACTATCGCGCTCTCCAGCTCAATGTTTACTGAATCAAAGAACAGCTCGGCTTAAACAACAACCAGAGAAGCATGTGTAGTTAGTTGGTCAAACATCCAAACAAGAAGAGGTTCTAGCAAAGACTGGAATTTCCGGTAAGCCATCCTGACCACAGCCAGCTGGGACAGGGTTTCGGCTTATCTTTGGCTGAAATCTGCTCGGCACACTAAACTTTTTGTTTCTGAGCTCTCCTTGGAGGGTCCTGCCTCAGACCCAGCTCTGCTGAAGTGCAGAGACTGACAGGCCAACAGTCAGGGGGACTGATGCGTCCTCAGCAATCACGACTGTCCTGGCTGCATCTCAGCCCGAGAGCCAGGGAAGAGATTACGACTTGGCAAAAATTCCAGCGTCAGGTGTAGCCACGGTCAGATCACTTCCCTCTCTGAACTTCTCCTGAGGTGAACCCTCAACCAGACTAAAACCCAGTGACCACTTCCCTGGCCTGCCTTCGGACCAGAATGTTACTAACAGCTGTCATTATTGAATACGTTATGTTTTCCCCTTAAAGGACTTTATTTAATCCTTACAACACTATGAACAGGTACATTACCCACATTTCACAATTGAAGAAATACAGCCTGAGAGGAAAAGTGACTTTCCCTAGTCACACAACTACGAAGTACTCAAACTAGGGTCTCCACGAAGGAATACATGCGTTCTTCCACGTACTACAAAGCCAAATGCTGGTTTTCAAAGACTGCGAAAAATCATCGGTGGGTGGGAGGGTAGGGAATTCTGAACATGCAGAATAAATGTGAGATTTTTCTGCAGGATAAATACAAAACTCTATTTTTTAAAGCGTTTACTGAGTGGAAATGTCTATACAACTTAAGAATCCCAAAGGATTCTCCCTGCACTTGGGAAATATGCTCAGAATGACACTGTCCATTAGCCTTTCTCCTTTCCTTATTTGTACAGCTGCAGAGAGAGGTAATTCAATACAGTAATTGCTACTGGAACTTCTGAAAGCTTTCCAAGTTTTTCTCACATAATTAATTCTGGGTAAATTTTTCACTTTTACTGGTGTTCCCGTTTCGGTGTGCAGTCTTAAACTGTAATCACAGTCTAGATACTTCTGCGCGCTCACATACCTTTGCTCCCCCCCGCCAGTACTGCCTTTCAGGGACTTTTCCATCGTGAGATTTAAAAGGAATCTTGGAAATCATCTCATGTCGCACAGATTTACTGAGCCCAGGGTCACAACACTTGGCAGCCGCAAAGCCAAGACCAAAATTCATGCCTTTCGACCCTTCTCACTGCATGGGGATGAATCGAGGCTCTGCAGGCGGTCCCGACATTGTTTTGCTGTTCTTTGGGCGGAAACGATAATGCTCATCATTGCAACACCTTTTCATGAAATTACTTACTCCGAGAAAGGTGCTAAAATCCCGAGCTACATGAACTTCCCGAGCAAAATGAATTCAGCCCGTCCTCGCGAACGGGCGCCAACCTGGCGAGTGCCGGGGGCCATTCGAAGCTCAGCGGGCCGGGTGGCCGGAGGGGTGCGGAGGCCGGCGGAGCA